AAAAATCTTTATTGTGAGTATATGCTCCTCTCATCGAATATATGAACTCTCCTCTCATCCACTCCCAAGCTAAATTTTAGTGATCAAGTCTTCCCAAAGGATTACTGTTATAGATCGTAACTTGAGCTTAAGCTTGAGCTTGAGCTTGATAATTATTCATAAACGCTTGTAAGACATCATAAGATATCAAAAGATTGTCATTTTGGCATCTGAAATACTTGGTCGTCAAGTTCTTGGGCTTAAATTTTGGATCTTCTTACAGCACATGCATTCTGGTTGCTGTTAACAACAGAGTTACAGAAATAAACAAGAATTAAGGAGTAATAAAAAAAAATATTGAAAAGGGACTAATTTCGTAATGAAATTGACCACAACGAAGTGGTGTTTGTTATTCTGGTTTTATTTTATCGTATTAAAGTTGCTCACATCAATTACAATGGTGATGGTATATATACACAGTAAACATTACTCCTATTTTGGTATACACATATCTTGCTATAATTTATAGATAATTTTGGCTCTGATTGATTCTGTTGACCCCATAATGCATGAATTTGCTCCTTTAATTCTATTGTAGACAAATCATGCCAACACCCCCTCTCAAGTTGGTGCATATATGTCTATCATGCCCAACTTGCCAAGTGAGTTGTGAAAACTCCTACTAAATACAGCTTTTGTTAGGATATTTGCTAGCTGGTTTTCAGATTTCACAAAGAGGAAGCGAATTATCTTAGCTTTGAGATTCTGTTTGATAAAATGTCGATCAACTTCTACATGTTTGGTGCGATCATGTTGAACTGGGTTATGTGAAATGTCAATCGCCGCCTTATTATCTCAAAATAGATTCATCTTGCAATTAGGAGCAAATCCAATCTCAGATAAAAGCTGTTTGAGCCAAAGGAGCTCGCATAATCCTTTCGCCATTCCTCAAAATTATGTTTCTGCACTTGATAACGCCACTACCTTTTGTTTCTTACTCTTTCAAGTAACTAGGTTCCCTCCAACCAATGTGAAATAGCTTGAAGTAGATTTTCTGTCTGATATACTTCTGCCTAGTCAGCACCTGTATAGCCTTCAACATTTAGATGATCATTCTTTGAAAGCAGGAGTCCTTTTCCAGGGGACGATTTCAAGTATCAGAGAATTTGCATTACAGCATTCATGTACTGGCTCACCACGCTTACTGCATAGGCAATTTCAGGTCGAGTGTGTGACATGTAAATCAATTTACCAACCAGTCTCTGATATCTATCTTTGTTTGTTGGAAGTCTAGAGGTGTTAAGACGGACGGGTCGGCCATGACCTGTGAAAACCGGCCAGTGAAAACCTGGACCGCGGGCCGACCCGTGACCCGTGCGGGCGGTTCACGGGCCAAGGAGGTGTAACCCGCAGG